TCCAGGTAGTAAACCACCTCTGAACTACCTCTAATGCATCCTTCTTTAAAGAAGGAGACCAAAACTGCACACATACAGTTGCAGTCTCACCAAAGCCCTGTATAACGCAAGCATAAGATCCTTACTTTCATGTTCAATTTCTCCAATAATAAAGAATAGCATCCCAAAACATTTCTTGATTACACGCTGTAGCTGTCTATTTACTTTGTGACTTATACACCAGAGCACCCAAATTCCTCTGCACTTCAGAATTTTACAGTTACTCACCACTTAAGTAATACACTGCTCTTTCCACATTGACATAATAAGAACTGCAGACGCTGGATCAGAGTTAACACACACAGTGCGAAGCTGGAGGGACACAGCAGGCCAGGCAGCATCAGAATAGCAAGAATGTTGATGTTTCGGGTCGGGACCCTTCAGATTTCTGCAGTGTTCCTCCAGCTCCACACTTATCTTTTTCCACATTATACTCCATTTATCAAATTTTTGTTCACTTACTCAAAATAATGAAGTCGCAGGCAGATACAGATTATGCCTTTGTTATGCCATACTTTCTGAACTATCTTGGGTTCATTTGCAAATGTAGCTATCATGCTTTCACTCCAGGTTCAGAAGCTCCATCATTTTGTTTCTTATCACTTCCCTAATGACTGTAATTTCACCAAGTTTCTCTCTGCTTTCCATGTCCTGATTTATAACTACTCCTGGAATTTTTTTGTATTCTCTATAAAGACAGAAGCAAAATACATGCTCACTACATCTACCATTTCCTTAGCATCTACTACTAACTCCCTATTCTCACATTCTAGAGAACCAACACTCACTTCACTTACTTTTAAAACTTTTTAAGAACGGGTAGAAATTCTTACTATCCATTTTATACTATCATTCTTCAGTCAAAATTCTGGAACTCTCTACCTGACAGTATATGAACTACAGCAGGTCAAGAAGGTGGCTCACCAGCAGAGTCTCCAAGACAATTTGGGATTTGAAATAAAGGCAGGACAATAAATTACAAGTCAATAAATGGAATTTGAAACAGAATGTATCAGAATACGCAGTTTTACCTTCCATGCAGTGACGGTTCTCTGAAGTGGCATCAGACTAGCAACATATCTCTCCTGAGGCAAAAGAAAAGTAATTATGTATAGTTTAAGCCATTTCCTTCACACTTAATATGAAATCTCCTTCAAAAGTTCCCTTTTTTTTTTTACATGGCTTAAAAACAGTGGTAAACCAATGATCACACCATAAAAGGTTCCAATGTACTGCGCTATGGGCTGTGCTGACACCCAGGGTGCTCTGGGAACCGTGGAAGCAATATTATACCGATAACGGGGAACCTGTAGATGTAATATATCTGGACTTCCAGAAGGCATTTCATAAGGTGCCACATAAAAGTTTAATACACAAGATAATATCACATAGGGTTGAGGTAATTTATTAGCTTAGATAGAGAATTCGCTAACCAACAGAAAACAATGATGGGTCTTTTTCTAGTTGGCAAAATGCACCTAGTAGGACGACATAGTTGAGTCCTTGGACCCATCTATTTACAATCTAATGGAATGACTTGAATGCAGGGACAGAAAGTAATTTATAGCCAACGTGCAGATAACAAAATTGGTGGGTAGGTAAAATACGATGAAGAAATAACAACGTTACAAATGGATTTGGATACGATATGTGAATGAGACAAAATGTGGCAAATGGAGTTTAAATGTGGGTAAAGTGTGAGGTTATCCATTTTGGGCTGAAGACTAGAAAAGCAATTTATTATCTAAATGGAGAGAAACTTCAGAGTGTTTGGTGCAAAGGGATCTAGGTGACCCCATGCATGAATTGGAGAAGGCTAGTATGCAGGTACAATAAATAATAAGGAAGGCAAATGGAATTTTGGCATTTATTACTAAAGGAATAGAGTGTAAAAGTAGGGATGTGTTGCTGCAAATATACAAAGCATTAGGTGATACTGCACCTGGAGTGCTGCGTAAAATTTTGGTCCCCTTTCCTGTGGGGAGATGTCGTTGCATTGGAGGCAATTCAGAGGAGGTTCACTGGATTGATTCTAGAGGTAAGGGATTTGTCTTAGAAGCAACATTGAGCTGTTTATACCTATACTATCTGGAGTTGTTGAGACGAGATCCAATTCAGGTATGCAAGATGTGAAAGGGCATTGACAAAATATAGAAAGGATTGTTCCACAAAGGGAAACATCTCAAAAGAGGTCATAATTTTACAATTAAGGGGTAGCAAATTTAAATCAGAGATGAGAAGGAATTACCTCATCACAGGATCATGAATCGGTAGAATTCACTAACCCAGAGTGTGGTGAATACTGGGTCATTGAGCAAATTTGAGGAGGAGATAGACAGATTTTTAATTAGTAATGAATCTAAGGGTTATGGGGAGCATAGTGGAGTCGAGGTCGAGATCAGATCAGCCATGATCATATTGAATGGTGGAGCAGGCTGAAGGGGCTTAATTGCCTACTCCTGTTCCTAGTTCTTATGATTTATGGAAGGCAAAACACTGGAGTGGGGAGAAAAGATTTGCCATGTCATTATACAAGCCTGCACACACATTATTAATATAAAAAAGAAAAATGTTAGATATTCAGCAGCATCTGTGGAAAGGGAACAGGTCACATTCCAGCTCAGTGATCCTTTGCCAAAAGTAAGCTTATTTGGAGATACAATTTTTAAGCAAGTCGACAGAAGGATCTGGGGTTGTGTAGAGGTTGGGGGATAATTTGGGAGAAAAGAACAAAATGGAAAGTATGGTGATAGGTATGTGATAACAACCAAAACAGAATCCCCTCGTCCTCATGTACCACCCCACCAACCTCCAGATCCAATGCATCATCCTCCGACACTTCCGCCATCTGCAATCCGACGCCACCACCAAAGACATTTTTCCCTCCCCACCCTTATCTGCTTTCCGGAGGGACCACTCTCTCCGGGACTCCCTTGTCCACTCCACACTCCCCTCCAGCTCCACCACACCCGGCACTTTTCCTTGCAACCGCAGGAAGTGCTACACCTGCCCCTACACCTCCCCCCTCACCCCAATCCCAGGCCCCAAGACGACTTTCCACATCAAGCAGATGTTCACCTGCACATCTGCTAATGTGGTATACTGTATCCGCTGTTCCCGTTGTGGCCTCCTCTACATCGGGGAAACCAAGCGGAGGCTTGGGGACCATTTTGCAGAACACCTACGCTCAGTTCGCACTAAACAACTGCACCTCCCAGTCGCGAACCATTTCAACTCCCCCTCCCATTCCTCAGACGACATGTCCATCCTGGGCCTCCTACAGTGCCACAACGATGCCACCCAAAGGTTGCAGGAACAGCACCTCATATTCTGCTTGGGAACCCTGCAGCCCAGTGGTATCAATGTGGACTTCACATGCTTCAAAATCTCCCCTCCCCCTACCGCATCTCAAAACCAGCCCAGCTTGTCCCCGCCTCCCTAACCTGTACTTCCTCCCACCTAAAGCCCCACCCCCATCTCCCTACTAGCCTCATCCCACCCCCTTGACCTGTCCATCCTCCCTGGACTGACCTATCCCCTCCCTAACTCCCTACCTACACTCACCTCTACTGGCTCCATCCCCGCCTCTTTGACCTGTCTGTCTCCTCTCCACCTATCTTCTCGTCTTCCATCTTCTTTCCGCCTCCCCGTCTCTCCCTATTTCAGAACCCCTTTCCCCTCCCCCATTTCTGAAGAAGGGTCTAGGCCTGAAACATCAGCTTTCCTGCTCCTCTGATGCTGCTTGGCCTGCTGTGTTCATCCAGATCTACACCTTGCTATCTCAGATTCTCCAGCATCTGCAGTTCCTACTATCTATGTGATAGGTTGAAAGGTAGGAGTGATCAAATGACTAAAGGGATTCAATTTTGCATTGCACTAAGAAAACATGATGAGATCAGCAAAGAAACAAATAAATGCACTATGCTAGGGTGTAAATATCTTCCCTCATATCAGAGTTTCTTTAGTTTTTCCTCCCAAAACCAGCCCCTTTTGCTGCCTTGCTTCAACTTCCAGTTTCTGACAAGGGGTAATTGACATGAAACATTGATTCTGCTTTGCTCTTCAAAACACTGCTATACCTGCTGAGCATTTTCAGCATTTTGTCTTTTTATACCAGATTACTAGCATTGGCATACCTTACTCCTGTATATTAAGCCTGTTCTTTGTTAGGCTACGAACAGTATAGATAGCTTTGAAACCTAAATTCAGAAAATACAGTTAAAAAGACTTGAATAAACCCAAAGAACTTTTCTATCACTGTACATCTCAAAAGGGGAACAAACTGCTCACCAGGGGAATAATGAAACTTTGGGTTAGTTCCAGTAAGTGGCGACGGACAATGACGCTCTGCACTTCTGGTGGACGTTTCCTTTGTATACCCTACAATTAATTGAAGACAATGAAAGTCAGTTTATAGATAGAACATTCTTCTGATTAAAAATGTTAGACAATAATGTTGGATGATTTGTAACTGTGAAGACTGCAATTTGAAATGAAAATACTACCCACTAAAGGCAATGATTTCTCCTCATTTAATCCATAATAAATTTTCATTATTTTCAACAAATCATGAAATTTCCCCTAATAAGTTTGCTCCAAGAACAATCTTAGCTTCTCTTGTCTCTCTACATAATCAAAATCTCTCAGTCCTGGTTATTCATCTCTGCATTCTTTTGACAGCCTTCGCTTTTATTTATTGTTCATGGGATATGAGCATCTCTGGTCAGGTCAGCATTTATTATCCAATTTTTTGATTTTCTTAATAAAATGGTGAGCCATCTTTTGAACCATTGTGGGCCACGTCCATAAATTTAACGCACTCGCTCTTTCTCATTGACCTATTTCTAGGGTCTAGTGTACTACTGCATTTCTTCCTCTGAAAACTACTACTTTAATAAACCCATTATTTACATGTAATCTACTAAAGTCTTGCATGCATTGTTAGTTAAAAAACAGCTCACATCCCTATTCGCATTCTTCATGTTAATGTAGCATATGGTTACTCTATGTAGGTTTTCATAAGGTGTGGTACATAGCAGAAACAAGATCTATATAAATATGTAGAGACAAATAAAAAGGGAGAAAAATGAAGACACTCAAAATAAAGGATGATGCTGGCCATCTAAAACTAGTCTAGAGTAACAGTAATCTTAGAGTTTGAAGAACATAGGACCATAAGAAATAGGCATGGGAGAATGCCATTCAGCCCTGAGCCAGCTCACCATTCAATAGGATCATGGCTGATCCAACATTCCTCACATCCGCCCTTTCCCCATAACCCTTGGTTCCCCGGCTGGTCAAGAATCTACCTACATCTTAAATATACACAATACTCTGCCCCATGGCCCTCTGTAGCAAGGAGTTCCAAAGACTCTTAACACTCAGAAGAAATTCATCCTCATCTCAGTCTTAAATGGGTACCCGCTTAATCTGACACTATGTCTTCTTGTTCTAGACTCTCCCAAGAAGGGATTTACCATGTTAAGCCACTTAAGAATCCTGTATGTTTCAATGAGATAGAATCATACGACATGGAAATAGGCCTTTTGGCCCAACTCATCCATGCCGCCAAGGATTCCTGAATTGAACCAGTCCCATTTTGCTTGCATTTGGCCCATATCCGTCAAAACCTTTCCTATCCATCTACCTGTCTAATAAGGTACTTTAAGTGTTGTAATTGTACCCACCTCTACCACTTCCTTTGGCAGCTCGTTCCATATACGCAACACCCTCTGCTTGAAAAAGTTGACCTTCAGATCCCTTTTAATTCTTCCCTCTTATCTTAACCTAGGCCCTCTAGTTTTGGACTCCCCTACCCTGGGAAAAAGACTGTCTTTTTACCTTATCTATGCCCCTCATGATTTTATAAACCTTTATAAAAAGGTCACCCCTCAGTCTCCTATATGCCAAGGAAAACAGTCCCAGGTTATTTAGCCTCTCCTTATAAGTCAAACCTTCCAGTCTCAGCAACGTCCTTGTAATTCTTTTTTGCACCCTTTCCAGCTTAATAACATCTTTCCTACAGCAGGGTGACCAGAATTGTACGTAGTACTCCAAATGTGGCCTTACCAATGTCTTGTACAGCCATAACATGACATCCCTGTATTAAATGTTCTGACCAATGGAAGACAAACACCTTCTTCACCACCTTATCTACCTGTGACACCACTTTCAAGGAACTACATACCTGCACCCCTAGGTCTCTCTGTTTGACAAGAATCCCCATCGCTCTACCATTAATTGTGTCCTGCTTTGTCTTACCAAAATGCAACACCTCACATTTATCTGGATTAAACTCCATCTCGACCCACCATCCCAGCTGATCAAGATTTCATTGGTATAGTGAAGAAGGCTTTCTGAATGTACACTAATTTTGGTGTCATCCACAAAGTTACTAACCATGCCTCCTATTTTTTCATCCGAATTGTTTATGTAACAACAAACAGCAGTGGACCCAACACCAATTGCAGGATTGAGCAAAAATCTCCAATATCTAAAATACAGGACAAAACCCTGGACTTTTAAAAAGTTTTGAAAAGGTAAATAAAAGCTGGAATGATTCCTGTGGAGAATACACAAACACAGAGTGGTGGATGTGATCGATATGGACTTCAGTAAGGTGTTCGACAAGGTTTTGCATGGTAGACTGGTTAGCAAGGTTAGATCACGTGGAATACAGAGAGAGATAGCCATTTGGCTACAGAACCGGCTCAAAGACAGAAGACAGGGATGGTGGTAGAGGGTTGCTTTTCAGACGGGAGGCCTGTGACCAGCGGTGTGCCACAAAGATTGATGCTGGGTCCACTGCATTTATCATTTATGCAAAGGATTTGGATGTAAACATAGGACACATGGTCAGTAAGTTTGCAGATGACACCAAAATTGGTGGTGTAGTGGACAGCAAAGAAGGTTACTTCAGAGTACAATGGGACCTTGATCAGATGGGCCGAGGACTGGCAGATGGAGTTTAATTTAGATAAATGTGAGGTGCTGCATTTTGGAAAGGCAAATCAGGGCAGGACTCATACACTTAATGGTAAGGTCTTGGGGATTGTTGCTGAACAAAGAGACCTTGGAGTGCAGGTTCACAGTTCCTTGAAAGTAGAGTTGCAAGTAGAGAGGATAGTGAAGGCAGTGTTTGGTATGCTTGCCTTTATTGGTCAGTGCATTGAGTATAGGAGTTGGGAGGTCATGTTGCAGCTATACAGGACATTGGTTAGGACCCTTTTGGAATACGGTGTTCAATTCAATTCTGGTCTTCATGCTATAGGAAGGATGTTGTTCAACTCTGGCAACACCTTGGTCAATCTTTTCTGAACCCTTTCAAGTTTGAAGGTTTGAGCTATAGGGAGAGGCTGAATAGGCTGGGGCTGACATTTTAGAAGTTTATAAAATCATGAGGGGCATAGATAGGTGAACAGCCAAGCTCTTTACCCCAGGGTAGCAGAATCTAAAACTAGAGGGCATAGGTTTAAGGTCAGAGGGGAAAGACTTAAAAGGGACCTAAGGGGCAACTTTTTCACGCAGAGGGCGGTGTGTGTATGGAATGAGCTGCCACAGGAAGTGGTGGAGGCTAGTACAATTACAACATTGAAAAGGCATCTGGATGGGTATATGAATAGGAAAGGTTTAGAGGGATATAGGCCAAATGCTGGCAAAAATGAGACTAGATTAATTCAGGATTTCTGGTCAGTATGGGCGAGTTGGACCAAAGGGTCCATTTCCATGCTGTACATCTCTATTGCTCTATGACAAATCACAGAACTGAGATAGCTGCTTGGAACCATTGTTCAGCCTAGAATGCCAATTTATACTGCCTCTCTAAGACCACAAATCAATTGTAATGAACTTTTACACTATGGGCTACCGAGCCCAGACAATATGAGACCTACAGGAGATACTGGACATTCATCTCAATCAATATCAATTTGCAAATACACTACCCATCAGAAAACCAACTAATTTCAGAAGACAACATCAAGAGCTTAAAGAAAACTACAGCCTGGTTTCACGTCAGGAGAGTCTGTTTTTCTGCAGCAAGGCTTCCACCCGCAACATGCAGCTTCAGAACCAAGAACCACAGAGGCTGAACTGAAAAGCTGAGTCGAGATGCCAAATCAAGAGCATCATTGAAACAAAGGACATGCGTAAGTGGGGAAGCCAACCAGTGCTTCCAACATGCGTCTATTCCAAACCAAGAGAACCAACAGCAAGGACCTCAACAACCAGGCACATTTTAAAACCATGTTTTCCTCAGTGGTGAGCTGAAACTCCCAAGACCCAAAGTTCCAAACTAGTTAGCAGTGAGGGGAAGGCGGGTGGTGACAACAACAAGGGTGGGAAGCCTGATTAAAGTTTCTGTCATTAAAATGTTGGTTTTAGGTTCTAATTGTGTTTAATCTAGCTAGTGTATTTAATAGTATTACTGTTCTTTGTATAGTTGATTGCATCAATTTCCCTGTTTTACTGCATTTACCCATATTTCTTGTATTAAACTAAGCTTTTTTGTTTATATTTAAATAAACACAGATTCTCTTGCCCTGCAACACCTGTCAACTACCTTCTTCATTTCACATTGCCTAAATAGGACCAGCGTCTCGAACCAGGGATCTGGGTGGGGGAGGGGGGTGATTTGAACCATTTAAAAATTAGAAAATTACTGATTGCAAACCAGAACCCTACAGATCCATGCAGTACACTGCTGGTCACAGGCCTCCAGTCTAAACAACAACCTTAGTCTCTTACCATCCAGCCAGGTTTTATCCAATTAGCTAGCTTACCCTGGATCCCATGTGATCTCACCCTAATAACCAGCCTACCATACAGAACCTTGTTAAAGCCCTTGCTAAAGTCCACATAGACAATGTCTACTGTGCTGCCTTCATCTATCTTCTTGGTCACCTCTTCAAAATACTCAACCAAAATTGTAAGACACAACTTCCCATGCATAAAGCCATGCTGACCATCCCTAACAGTCCTTGCTGTTCCAAATGCATGTAGATCCCGTCTCTCAAAATCCCCTCCAACAATTTACCCACCACTGACATTAGGCCCAACAGTCTGTACTTCCCTGGCTTTTCCTTGCAGCCTTAAATAATGGCACAATATTTGCCACCGTTCAGTCTTCTAGCATCTAACCCATGTCTGTTGATAATACAAATATCTCTGCTAGGGACCCCACAAATTATTCCCTAGCTTCCCATAACGTTCTGGGATACACTTGATCGGGTCCTAGGGATTTATATACTTTTGTGTGTTTTAAGACTTCCAGCACCACCTCTTCTGTAATGCAGACTCTTTTCAAAATATCACTATTTATTTCCGAGATCCCTAGCTTCCATGTTTTTCTCCACAGTAAATACGGACATGAAATGTTCGTT